TCTGGACACCCTCTCCAGGCGCGCCGGCTCGTGCTTGCGCTTCTACAGCTGGCCGGGGCCTGGACCCGGGACTTGGGCTCTCCCCACCGCCCTGCATGGACTTGCCCAATAAATTCCACTTAGTAATTTCACCGAGGCGAGGGAGAGCTGCTAGTGTCTGTATTCTGACCTAAATCTAGCGGATAGCCAGAGCGGGCTTCAGGGCGTAAGAGGAAGAGCTGCAGGCTCAGGCAATGACCCAGAGGAGGGGTCACACACACGACGGGACGGGGCAGAAGGGGCACAGTCTTAGTTTTCTGCAGGGTTTGTTTGGAGCCTTTCTGCCCTCTTTGGGCTGCACCGTCAACCTATAGAGGAGCGGCGGCTTCCCCGAAGGCCAGAGCAGGGGTCAGTTTGGTGAGTTTCTGTCTTGTGGTCACCCAAGACAGAAGGTGGCTGGCAGGATGCTATGCTGAGAAATGCTGCTGTGCCGGACCATGGGGCCAGGTGCAGCTCATGTGGCTAGTGGAAAAGCCAAGAACAGGCAGCAGGGTTGGAAGAGCTTGCCCCAGAGTTTGCAGACGTTCCTCCTGCCTTTCCACAGTGCCAGGTTACTTTATTATGATTATATAATCATCCTCATCTAGCAAAAACAACATTTTGCATTTGGCCCACATCTTTCTTGGTTTAGGATCTTATCTTACAAATCCTTCCTGGGAAGAGATCTTGGTTTTTCAATTCGTGTTCCTGCTGGCCAAAAAACTCCCACCACACCTCTTACAGGAAGGTCACCGAGATTACACCTGTAAAACTCCCCCCCCCATTTTGCCGCCGTTCAGCAACAACTACACAGTTTACACTGTCTATAAAACATGCTCTTTTTAAAAAGTTCTGATGGACCTGGGCATGGTGGCGCATGCCTGTAATCCCAGCACTGGAGAGGCTGAGACAGAAGTATTGCAGTGAGTTTGAGGCAAGCTTGGGCTACACAGTGAGACCCTGTCTCAAAAAAAAAAAAAAAAAAAAAAACTACACAGAGAGACTGTCAAAAAAAAAAAAAAAAAAAAGTCCCAATGTCAAAGCAAGGGAGAAGAATGTCAAGAAGTCATTCTTGCTCTGTGTGTATGTGCTCAGTCTTCTTAATTGGATTTGAAGACGTGAAGATCTTTTTCTTTTTTTTTAGTATCTCCAGTGCCCTGCATTTGCTCTTCTAACAAAGTTACTTGTTGACAAACTGACTACCTTATTGACAAAGACAGGGAGAAAACAGAGGGACAAATGAAGGCCCTTCCTTGGCATCTGGAGGAAGCCCCTGGCCAGTGCCCTGGACGCTAGGCAAAAACTCTACCTGCCCAGTGCTGCCCAGTGCTCCATTCCATCTCCTCATCAACTTGGCCCCAACACGAACTCGAGTAAGAACCACACGTTACAAATCATAACTGCGCTTTTTCACTTTGCCCAAAGATTGTAGGTCATGCCTATTTTCCCTCTGATAAAAGGCGGAATCTGTCATTGATACCCTAAATCCCTACAGGGTTTGCCTGAGAAATACAACCTCAGGTATTCTTGGTGGTTGTCAGGGTTAGGAAAAAGTGTTTTGTGGAAACCAAGTGGCGGAGAGGGAGCAGCTCTAGACTTTTGAATTGTGTGTTGCTAATTTGGCCCACCATCCACTCTTCCCTCTAACTCAGTCGGGAACCCCTGTGGAAGTCCCGTCAGCGTCTGGGCTGCAGGCTCCAGATCCGGGAGGTACAGATCCGCCCTCCATCTATTGGATGGCTCCCAGGCCAATTGTTAGAAAGAGGCATATGTTCATCTGGGCTTCTGGAGTGTCTCCGGAGCAGTTGCTCAACAGCTAGCCCCCTCCCCCATCCGGACCATTGAAGGGCAAAAAAGGAGCGCCCTCTGTGCCCACTGGCCAGAAAGGTCCTCTCCACTGGTGACTTCCTGTCTTCTCCCTTGCCCACCTCCTGTGGAGCAGGAGAGAGGGCCGTTAAGTACTCAGTGTCGGAGCGCAAGAGCCACTCCTTTTCTTTTGGGGGAGATGGGAGAGGAGGTTAGTTGAAGAGGCTGGAGAGGGAGCAAAGGAGACATTTGCGTTTCTCAGCAAATATGCCCTGGATCACTGACTTCGCAGAGGCTCCAGCAGAGCTCAGAGCTCTCCAGCTGAACTCTTATCTCCAACTTGGCAACTAGACTGGGAGCTCACGAAGCAAGGAGAGAACAGGGCTGGTCACCCAGCAGGAACCTTCTGTGCACCAGCAATGGGCCTGGCGTGTTCCCATTCATCATCTCATTTAATTCCCTGGACATCCCTGTGAGGTCGGGTTACCAAAGGTGAGACAATCTGTAAGAAGTGCCAGAGTTCACGAAGCCAGGAGGCCAGGGGTTGAATCCAGATCAGGCTGGCTGCAAAGTCCTGCCCTATAATCCTACACCCTGCTGCTTGGGAGGATAAGCAGAGTGCAGGCTCAGGGGTCAGTGGCCTGGGTTTAAATCTCCACTCTACCATTTGCTGACTGTGTGGTATTGGCCAAGTGGCTCCATTTTAGGTGCCTCATTTTCCCCATCTGTTAAATGGAAATCCTAATGGCACCTACTGCATGAGGCTGTTGGTGAGGATCAGAGGGAATGGCTTAGCTTAGTTGGTGCCAGTGTACTAACTGGCAAATAAATGCTGGTATTTTAAATGCTTTCTGATTCTTTACCTTTTGGCCCCTATCCCTGCCTCGGCTCAAACACTTCAGGTTCAATACTTGCTGATTGAGAAATTAAAAAATCAGACTGAGGGGTTGAAGCAGATCTAATAAACTCAGGAAAGGGAAGGAGAGGGAAAATGCAAATATGTTTTCCAAATGCCACCCTCTAGAACCAAGAGCTGCTTGAGCCACATGACAGGAGTAAATTTGGGACCAATAAAAGATGATCAAGTTCTACAGGTCAGTCTATCGACTTGAAGGGTGGTCTCCAGAAATGTGGACTCATTGTGTGTGCAGAAAAGTTAAAAAGTACTAGCTTTTATTCAAGAATGTTTAGAGCAAAATGATTTATAATAGTGAAAAATAGAAAGCAATCTAAAGGTCCATGGCAAGGGAGTGTCCTTTGTACCTTGGGAAAAAAAATCTCTTGATTTAAAAATTTTTGTTCATGGGAAAATGTTCATAGCAAAATATTAAGCAAAAAAAATCAGGTACAAAGTTGCATAAATATGATGGCAAATTGCAGAGAGCACAAAGGGTATAAAATTAAATATTCACTGTGCTTCTAATCATGTTGGAATATGTACGTAAAGTGATGTTCAGAAAAACATCAAAAAATAACTGCCACTAGAGGGTAAGGATTAGGAGTAATTTATTTTCTCTTTTCTCTATGTTATGCAATATGACTATGTTACTCTTATAAGTAAATATATGAGTTAACTTTACTATGATTAGTAGGATGCTGGGCTGGGGGTTTAGCTCAGTGGCTCCGTTCTGAGTTCCATCCCTGGTACAAAAACAAAAACAAAAACAAAAAACAAAGATTAATAGGATGCTAAACAGTATGTTCGTACTTTTGGTAAAATTATTAGTGCACAAAAAATAGTGGAAGCAACTATACTGAAATGTGAACAGTGATTATAATTTAGTGGCATTTCAGGTGGTACTTTTCTTTTTCTTTTTCTCACATTTTCTGCAATATGATTATCTTGTTTCCTTACAATTAGAACAGATTCATAACTTGAAAAGTGCATAATCAGTAGGATCCCACTTGTGGCTAAAAGCACGACTGCAAATTGAAAAATATGGGATGGAAGTATACTGAAATATTAAGTTTTTATATTAGGTGGTAAGAGACTATGGGTAATTTCCTTTTTGTAATACGGCTTCATCATTTTTATAATTAAAATAAAATGATACCTAAAAATAGCATATGCAATATGATTCTGCTTTTAGTAAACATTAATATGTACATAAAAAATAACATATGACTCCAAAATGTGGTTGTCTCTGGGTGATGGGGATATGGGTGATTTTTGTTTCTCCTTTATACATGGTTTCATTTTCCAATTTTTCTACATTGTGTGTTGTTTTTTAATTATGAAAAAAAAGTAGTTCAGTATTGGAGTATTTATGGAAAAAGGGGTATATCTGGTTTTGCTTTAAAATATTCCAGGGGTGATGGTGGGAGTGAAGTGGATGTGTATATAGAATACATAAGATGATAATTGTTGAAGATGGGTACGTAAGGCAGTTATAATGTTTTTCTATTCTTGTGTATGTTTTAAAATTTCCATAAAAATATATTTCTAAAAGTATTTGCATACCTTTTATCTCATGCCAACCTCCTGGGATCAGTTATGTCCATTTTATAGAAAACTGAGATTCAAAGGGATGAAGTCACTTGCCCTAGGTCACCCAAGGGAGGTGAGATAGTGGCCTTGATCTGAGTCTCCTCACCCTCACTCCAAGCTGAGGGCTCTTTAGCACATCCCAGTTGCTGCTGCTGTTCCTTCTTTTTCCTTTTTTTGCTTCTTTTTTTCTATGCTAAGGATGTGTCTTAGTTGTTCTTATCACTGGGTCACAATACCTGGCACCCACAACTTAAAGGAGGAGAGGTTTATTTTGGCTCACAGGCCAGAAATTCCAGTCCATGTTCATCAGGCTCGATCCCAGATAAATGGCATGGCAGAAGGGCCTGAGAGGAGGGAAGATGCTCACCTCATGGCACTCAGGAGGACAGAGAGCAAAAGGAGGAGCTGGGGAGGGAGATTAACCCTGCCAGGCAATGTTCGGTGATGGCCCCTTCCCACCAGACCACACCTCCTAACAGCAAATCAGCCATAATCCTCAGAATCCAGTCTCTTTGCTAAAGCTTGGTCTCTGAGTGCAGGAGGCTCCCGGGGACATCTAGATTATAAACCCGAACAGGACGTAACCCAGGGCCTTGCACATGCTAGCCAATTGCCCTACCACTTGGCTTCATCTCCAGCCCTATTTTTTGTTTCTTTTTAATAATAAAAAATAACTTAAAATTTGCTTGATCATAAATGTTGTAATTGTGTACACAATTTGGAAATAACAGAAAAGCACTGTAGAAAAACATAGTGATAAAACCCCATTGCACTACCCTTCGTTATTTGGTGTCTGGCTGTGCAGACTTTCTCAGTTGCCTCCTACTCCGAAAGTTTTGCTGGCTGCACACATCTGCTCAGTAATAGTGCTTAGACATTCCTGAGTGCAGCTGTAGCTGCATGGGGCCACTGCAAGTGTGAGGTCCTAGACGATGGTGGGTCCCCTTCTCCATTCTTCCCATTTCTCCTTCAGAGCCTGCAGTTTCAATCACAGTCCTCCTTTTCTATCTATCCTTGCTGTCCTTGTTTTGTCTTAAGGAATGGAGGTCCATTTGGGGATGTCTGTGTGATCCTTCTCCCCTACCCCATCTGGAGACCCTGCCTAGAAGTTCCTTTAGGATGCTGTGAGTCTGCGATCACTCCAAGTGTGCTTGTGCCTCCATTTCCCTATCTGGGAGAGGCTAGTGAGAATAGCAGGCAGGTTGGCCCCTGCCAGGGAGTGATGAGCTAATGTCTATAGTGTTTTCCAGCCCCTCAGAGCAAGGTGCTGGAGCCTCCCCAGCCCAGCCTGTAGCCTGCCACTGCCAGCCTGAGTGTGACAGAGTACCCGGGCCTGGCTGCCCTGTGTGCCTGTGTGTGTGTGTGTGTGTGTGTGTGTGTGTGTGTGTGTGTGTGTAGAGGGAGTGGCTGGCTGCATTCCTGTGAACCAGGCCAGTGGCTTGGACAGCATTCACTTTTGCGCCTATGTTTAAAAAAAGCAAAGAAAAGATGGAGACAAAGAAGAAACATTAGTTGCTAGTGGAAGGGGCCTTGAGGAATAGAAAACCAAGAAGAGATAACTAAGTGTCCTTGGGCATCCTAATCTGGCTCCTAGATTCCAGCCTTGGTTTCCTGTTTACATAGGGGGTTGGGAGAAGTTTGAGAAGGGTCAAGACCTAGGTCCAGTTGAATTGGTTCCCTATTGGGAAGGGTCAATAATTAGGTCGAGTTGAATTGGTTGTCTATTTGAGTTCCTGTTATTTATGCTTAATGGGAAAACCACAAATATACAAACCTAGTCTCTTGCATTCTAGAGGATGGCTCTGCCTGCTCTAGCCTTTGAGGATGTTCTATTGGTGTATGCCTCTTCTCTGTGCTCCTTTCTCATATTGAAGATCTTAGGAAATCAAAACTATCATACCCATTTTAGTTTTTATTTTTGCAGTTCTGGGGATTGAACCTGAGGCCTTTCCAGTGCTAGGCAAGCATTATGACACTGAGCTACATCCCCAGACCTTATCCCCATTTTGTTTTGTTTTATTTTGGTTTGGTTTTGGTTTTTTAGTGAGCATTTCACTATGTAATTCAGGCTGGCTTCAAACTTGTGATCCTCTTGCCTCAGCCTTCTGAGTGGGAGGATTATATGTGTGCCACTGTGCCTGGCCCCCTTATCCTTATTTAAGAGAGAAGGGCATCAAGGCAGAGAGCAGTGAAGTAAACCACAGATCACACAGAGCTGCAATTTGCAGTCAGGTCAGACTCACTCCTGAGGCCAGACGCCCCACAAGGCTACTTGTTCCTCTGTTATCTGTCTGTGCCTCTTTCTTCTAGAATGGATGCTACACCACACCGATTGCAGGAAATGGCTAGAACACATTCATGGCCCAGGTTAGGAGAAGAGCCCAGTTAAGAGCTGGGCAACAATCTGCAGAAACGAGGTACAAGGTGGGAAAAGGATATAGCCTACAGTGATGGCAAAGGTGACTCTGGAAAATGTTAGCCAGGAAAAAGTCCAGGGTTCAAAGGCAGGGGAGAGAGGTGCTAAAGTAGGGGAGAGAGAGCAGCTGTCAGGATAGCCTGGCCCTGGGCTGTTTTGGTGTCAACCATGAAGCTGGAGGCCTTGGGAAGGTGTGAGGTTTTGTGGGGGAAGCGAAACTCTGCTTTAAGCATGTTTAGTTTAAGCTGTTGGCAGAACATCCAAGTGGAAATAGCTTGCACACAGCCAGGAATATAGGACTGGAAAGAAAGTGTGGGGTTGTGTCAGAAAGAGCAATCAGCAGGATGACTTTTGGCCAAACAGTGAGGAACTTTCCCCTACTTCTCTCCACCAGCACAGAGAGGGGCTTTCTCCTCAGGACCCCGGGGACACTGGCTTTTCACTGCAGTGCCCCACTTTTCCTCCCCAGCGCTTCTACCTAGCACAATCACTGACGTGTGCTTCAAATCCCTAAAGAGCCCTGCGAGGGGCTCTCAGTCCATAAATTTCCCCACACTGGAGAGTGACAGGGGGCTCATCTCATTTTGC